TTTTTAGGTATAAATGTCAACTGAGCAGCTTGTGGAACTGCATTTTGCATAATAAAACACAAGTATATAAGTCTTTCACCTCGAGTCTTATCTTTGCTTTGCGTTTAGTCCACGTTGAACATATGTCAAATATATCTTGATAAATATTTTCTTTCCATAATTGGATATCGTCTTTTAAAAATTTTGTTTTGTGCTCTTCAAAAATTTTTGTAATATTCAAATTTCTAAATATATAATAACTTATGTTTGACAATAATAGCTTCTTTTTCTAGAAAAAAGAAATGATGTGCTAGCGTATTGATTCCTTAACATTGCTTCATGATGTGTGTATTTCTAGCTCTGTTGGTTTGACTTAGGTACACCTGTTAGTTTATTTTTTGTTAAAATGTCTGAGTCTGCTTAGAATTCGTTTAGCTGATCCAAGTTATAAGTTTCAATATGATAAGGGATCTTCCATATTTACGTCACGCTTTTGGGGGTGGGGGTTAGTGGTTTTGTGACGACTCAAACAGGACTTGTTACTAAAATGGTCAAAAGTTGCGTGACTTAATTTGTAAACAACCCCTAAGTGAATTAAGTTTTTTTTTAATTTAAAAACTTTTTAGAAATGTTATTGAAAAGCATTTTCTCTCTATGTTCAACTATTCAAAAACTACGTTTTATAATATTAAATGATAATATTTGGCATTACAATTATAAAAAATGTTATTAATTATTTTTACTATCGGGTGGACACGGGAAAATCCGGTCAACTTTAAATTGAGATTTCTCTAAAACCATAAATGCTTTTTATTTCAATTTTTTTATTATTAAACATGTTTACATAAATTAGAGTTTAAACTTAATTTTAAGGGGCTTGATGGGTTGTTTGGCAAGAGATCGAACTTTATAGCGGGTTGATGCCATCATTTTGCAGATTTTTTCTTTTTTCACCTTATTGGTGGCATTAATCTACTTTTTTTGGAATTTCTTTTTATTATTTGTTACTCCACCTGTCTTTAGAAGAACTTTTTAAACTATTACCCAAAAATCTTCAATCTTGCACTCTTCAGGAAAATTTGGAGGATTCACGTCTTTAGGAACAGTTTTTACACTATTATCTTTGCACCACTATAGAACTTTTTTAGAATAGTGAGAGGCAGGAAAATTGGGCCAAAAGAGACATTGGTATTTGTGTTTTTTCATAAAAGGAAAAAGTCTTTTTCGGAGGCATTCTTTGATGTAAAGATTGGGGAACAGGGGAACAAGGGGAAGTTAAGGGAAACAGTGGATGGGATTTCTTTATTTTTATACTGAGCAAAAGTTAAAATATTTATTTTATTTTTTCAAGGCGATAGGATTGAGATATATGTTCTTCATGAACATAAATCACTAAAACCCTAATATTTATTATCTAACGCCTCACAGAAAGGTTTAAAGTGAATTTTGTCACGTTATTCACTGTGTCCCAGTACTGGGGCACAGTTAATAACGTGCAATGCTATATTCAGAATATTTATTAACGTTTTGATGCAGTTTATATGTGTTACTTATATTTGCTACTTATTTTTATATTATAATAATTCAATATTTATTTCAAATTTGTTGTTAAGGTTCTCAGGAAAGAGATTATTGATGAATCCAGTGGCATAAGAAGGTTTTTAAATGTTTGAAACAACCAACTTTATAGCAAAAAGAATATTTCAAACTCTTTTACGTTCATATGTATGACGAAAAGATTCTTCACAAAAAAAAATTATTCTGATAGAATATTGGGAACAAGAAACCCTAAAATCTTACCCCTCCTCCCTATCTCAAACGTGAGAGTTTATGAAATATTTTTTGTACTATTTTCAACTTGAACTATATTCATCAATAAATTTCAATTATTTTCGCCTTAAAAAAGAACAATATTTTAACTTTTGCTCAATTTAAAAAATTCCATCCATTGTGCCCCATTATACTGTGCCCCAACTCCTATATTGGAGCTCTATGAAAAAATTGCAATGACGTTTTGTGATCTTCATCTTCTTTGAGCCCCTTAACTTTTAAGTTGTATATTACTTTGAAAATGGAGGTGGTATTTTTAATTTATCGTTGGTTAGATATTTTAATTTGTTAAAAAGTAGTTTTTCATCTTTTTTTGTTATCGCAGTTCCCAAAAGTTATTTTTTTTCTTTTTAATATTTATAGATTAATTCTAATAGATTAATGGAAAGGTTATTTGAAGACCGGAAAAAAGTTCACCAAAATCTACTAATTATTACACTGTTGTTAATCTTCATAAAACTTACGACAAAACACAATATTAGTGTTGTGAATAATAACATATACAGTCTGTAGATATAAATAACAATAAAATTTTCCTAGTATAAAATACATACTTGTAACTTGACTGATAATAAATTTAGACTAACAGTGAAAATTTAGACTAACTGTGAAAATTTAGACTAACTGTGAAAATTTATACTAACAGTGAAAATTTAGACTAACAGTGAAAATTTAGACTAACACTAAGAAAATTTTAACTTCAATAAAACTTGTATCTAAACACGTTTGTAATGCTGAAATATTAATATTAGTGTTATCAGTAATACTAATACAGTCTATAGATAAATATATAAAAAAATAGACCTCGTATAAATTAAAAACTTGTAACTTGATTGATACACACAATATTTTATCTTCAGATTATAATTTTTTGTCTACTGTTTGATTTTAATGTGACGTTTCTTCAGTTAAACCCATCCTTTAACAAGATTTTTGTTGTTAATTCCTTTACAAAGTTCTTTTTTGTTTTTCAGTAGCATGAGATTATCCAATCTCTAACCACTCATTGTTGTTCTCAGATGTTGTTTTAAAATCTTGAGTTGACTGAAAGAACACTCGTTTGATGCAACACCATAAGCAGCTGTGATTACAAGAATGCATAATTTATGGGTTTGTTTCAGTTTGTCTTTTAATTTCGTAGCATGATACAAAATGTCTAACAGCGTCTTAGTTGTTGTCGCACTTTAGATCAATTCATTCATAACATTTCTGTCGCTACTAATATTTTGTAGGTTCTTAGCAGTGTTTTCAATTACATTAATATTGTCAATGACATTGAAGTTTGGAATTTAAAATTTCTGTTAATATTTTTATTTTTTCAATGATATTCTTTATGAAGAAAAGAGAACAATGAAATCAAAAATTGTTATTTTTTTCAGAAGTCCCACAAGTCTCAGTTTTCAGAAGTCCCAGAAGCCTTAGTCCTTGTGTTAGTATCAAAAATCTTATTATTTGAGATGCTCTGAAGAAGATCAATAACCTTCTACAAACACTGATTTAGAGCCTTGACACACTTTACTTGCGCGGTTCATCTTGTTTAAGAAAGGTTTTCTCGCTGTATTGCATTGTCAAAGTCTTCAAGTTTTGCCTTTAAATAACTAAATGTGCTTGATGTGAAGAAAGCATGCAGCCGTTCGAGGACATTAAACAATTCTTCTATTAAAGTAATAATATTACAGGCATGTTTTAGAGCAGTGTTAGTTCTGTGGTCTTGGCAAGGTATGTAGGGAACATTTTGGGAAACAAAATGTTCCCTACATATTAGGGAACAACTTCTTATGTTATATACTTTTGTACTCTATAAAATTGTCTAAATATTGAACTGACGTAGTCATAAGTATGACAGGCCATCATTGGTACATCAATGCCTTTTTTATGTAAAAAAGATAAAATTAGCTCAGCCATCATTTTTCCAGTCTTATCAGTGCATGAAGCTTCCATGGTTTGTCATTTCCATAGCTTTTCATCTTGGACCAAGATCTTATTCAAACATTTATCCGAGTATCTTTAGTTTTTCCCTTCTTTTTAACATACTCTGGAAAAAAGCAGCCGACAAAAAAAAAATGCGGCATTCTTCTGAGTGCTGTATGTTATAAATGTTCAAATTCTTTATACCACTGGGGATTAAATCTATTTTTAGCTTTACTTAGGAAACTAGCAAGTTTTAGTCGGTGTGGCCCTAACTGGAGTAAATAAAATTTTTTATTGTCCGTAATTGTATGTGGACTTAAACCTGGATCATAGCTTATTAATGCTGATGCATCTGATTTTTCAATTAAAATATTTTGAGCTTTGATATTGAGTTTTCTAATAAAAATATTTTCAACTTCCAAAAGATTATATGAAAGTTTCACCACAGAACTTATTGCATTTACAATTTCAATTGCAGCGAATTTTAAATTTACTAATTATTCTTTACAGTATCTTTTATAAATATTACAACATAAAGATTTAAGATTATCAAAGAAAACACCCAAATTCCCCATGACCGAAAACCTATTTGTTGTTTTACTGTTTTTTTTTTTGAAAAAAAGGAGGCTACAAAAGGATTCTCTGGGGCTTCCGCTATTTGTATAGAACCTTTTAACCACCACGAACGACTGGTTTATAGTACTTACTAAAATCTGCTTCGCATACGCAACATTGTACTTTATATCTTTTGACTTTCATAGTTAGTGCTCTAAAATACAAACGCAGATACAGCAATTTAATTTAAATGAGTTAAATAAGAATAATCTCATTATATACTTTTATTCATATTAGGCTTTTTCGTACAAGTCTAATATATATATATATATATATATATATATATATATATATATATATATATATATATATATATATATATATATATATATATATATATATATATATATATATATATATATATATATATATATATATATATATATATATATATATATATATATATATATATATATATATATATATAATTACAGGGCTGTAAAGAGGGGGAAGCACAGGGAAGCACGTGTCTTCCCCCCCCGCCTCGTCCTAATGCGTCTTTCAAATGTTAAAATAGAATATTTACTTGAATAATAAAAATCAGGATTAGTTAATAAAAATTAAAAAATTGAAATAATCATTTAATAGTTATTTTAGTAAATACATTGTATACATTACATGTATACATACTTACGTATATTCAAATTTTGATTTTTTTTTTGTAGATTTTTAAACATGGATTGTAAAAGTGATTTACTATAGACATAATGCAAAAAAAAGGAAAAGACATTTTTATTCCAGGGTACATATTACCTATTAATTCAAATACTTCCATGGATAGATCAATGACTTTGTTGCATAAAAAACGCCCTATCGATGAAGAAGACGTTATAACAGATGTATCTGAAATAACAAATGAAATCAATAAAATAAGCCAAAGCTTGGAAAATCCAGAAGTAGGACTAAAAGACGCAACTCGATTACTCAAAGAAATAGATGAGCAAATGGAGGTAAGATATTTAATATATAATAATATTTAAGTAAAACTAAATGTTTACCAAAACTTTGAAAATCTTGAAGCTTAATTGTATACTTCAATACGGTTGTAGAAAGTTAAAAAAGTTTCTTGTAATTTCTTCTTAAATATATATCTAATCTTAAACAAAACTATTTATTAACTAGTAATGAATAGCTAACTGTAAATTATAGCTGTTGAGTTTCAATTCAAATATTGTTTTTCGCTTTGATGAATAGTTTGTAATCAATTTTGAAGTAATTTGAATTTTTTTCGTATAATAGGATGTTGCAATCTTCTCTGTTCATTAAGATAGTACATCACAAAAAGGGTACTACAATAGTACCCTTTTTATATAAATTAATAAAAGGGTACTATTATAGAGTTTAAATACTCAAAATGGTACATAATGGATTCATTTATTCTATTTATAAAATATTTAAATCTAGTTTGATCTGAATTCATTTTAAAAAAAAAAATTAATTCCTAATAAGGCAATTTATATTTAAATTTTTTAATAACAGCATCTCATTTCTCAGCTTACCCAGTTTGTGGAAGCTGAAACAAGAGATTATTGTACGTTTGAGACTATAGTAATATTGTTATTAATTTCGATAATATTTTATAGATTTATCAAAATGGATATATAACTTTTATGAAAGCTCAGTAGTAAAAGCTAATCCCAGAGAATATAAAGTAGAAGATTCAGTCACAGTGTTTTATTTATTTATATATCAATATATTTTATCGATAAATCGATAGTTTTATTGATATATCGACATGTTTTAGAATACAATGATGTGCTTATTGATATAGAAATGTCAAAAGTATTTTAGTAACAACTAATGAATCTACGATTGACTGAATGAACGATTGAATGAACGAACAATAGACTGAATGAATGATTGACTGAATAAATGATTGGCTTAATGAATGATTAACAATGAATAAGTTTTATTCGAGTTTAAATTCGCCAGCGCTATAATGTAGCCACACAATGGCTCGCTGTAATTATTACAATGACAAAAGATCGGGCACCTTCTACAATTGTTCTCAGAGTTTGTCCATTAAAAATGTTAGGAAAAGTCAATTGCAAAAGGCACTTGCATAGTTTTTTGTTTTTAAACGAAAATAAAAGTTTTATAGTAGCAAATCTTTTCGGTTTTTTTAAAACTAAACAAGAACTTTAAAATGTTTTGTATTTTGGTGACAATAAGTTTGCTTTTCCTATAGCTAAGTCATTTGGTGCGATGAAACAATATCCAAAACAGTCCAGTTTTAGAAAAGCGGTAACCAGAGGGAAAAAAGGGAAAGGAGGTGGTGGTGGTAGTGGCAAGGAGCTAAGCAAAAGCAAAAAAAGTGAGATAAGACAGCGAGGTCTTGTTTCACTAGTTAATTTATGTCACCGAGCACTTATAAAAAAGCATTTAATGAGGAAGTTTTCACCTTCTTTCTCACTGATTTTTTTACCGATGACTTTGTTGTCCAAAGTAAAGATAATAACAACATAAACAAGAATACTGATGAGTACTAGGCAACGTTAATAATAACAACATAAACAAGAATACTGATGAGTACTAGGCAACGTTAATAATAACAACATAAACAAGAATACTGATGAGTACTAGGCAACGTTAATAATAACAACATAAACAAGAATACTGATGAGTACTAGGCAACGTTAATAATAACAACATAAACAAGAATACTGATGAGTACTAGGCAACGTTAATAATAACAACATAAACAAGAATAGTGATGGTACTAGGCAACGTTAATAATAACAACATAAACAAGAATACTGATGAGTACTAGGCAACGTTAATAATAACAACATAAACAAGAATAGTGATGGTACTAGGCAACGTTAATAATAACAACATAAACAAGAATACTGATGAGTACTAGGCAACGTTAATAATAACAACATAAACAAGAATAGTGGTGGTACTAGGCAACGTTAATAATAACAACATAAACAAGAATACTGATGAGTACTAGGCAACGTTAATAATAACAACATAAACAAGAATAGTGATGGTACTAGGCAACGTTAATAATAACAACATAAACAAGAATACTGATGGTACTAGGCAACGTTAATAATAACAACATAAACAAGAATAGTGATGGTACTAGGCAACGTTAATAATAACAACATAAACAAGAATACTGATGAGTACTAGGCAACGTTAATAATAACAACATAAACAAGAATAGTGATGGTACTAGGCAACGTTAATAATAACAACATAAACAAGAATACTGATGGTACTAGGCAACGTTAATAACAACAACATAAACAAGAATAGTGATGGTACTAGGCAACGTTAATAATAACAACATTAAAAAGAATTCTGATTGTACTAGGCAACGTTAATAATAACAACATAAACAAGAATACTGAGGGTACTAGGCAAACGTTACAGATATAATTTAATATACTTATTTATAAACAAAAATAAATTTCAGAAGTAGAAGACATGCAACTAGTAAAATTTTGTGTCTTTTGCTTTTTTCTTAACTTTTACTATTTATTTCTTACTACTGTTTCCAAGAACAAAATTTCCTAACATTTTTAATCTTAAAGCTTCAAAAATTGTAAACAAATAAAAGTATAAATAAATATATTTGATGAAAACCTGTTAGATCTGGTATTCCTATCTGGAACACTTTTATTATTTTATTTATAAAGCTTTTTTTTTTACATTTGAAGATAACTCTCTCTTTTTATTTTTTTAATTACAATATTCAACGTATAATAAGTTGCTTTTTCAGATTTTTGTCTGACACCAAAAAACATACTTCTTTAACCCAAAAAGCTTAAATTATTGGCATTTATCATTTATAAACTGACTGTATCCAAGCCATAAAATAGATTTTGATGACGTTATTACATTTTTGACAGTGTAGATTTTACAGACTCAAATTCTGTTTTAACGATTACTTTTAAAATATAAATGAATACTGCATTTCAAAATATTTGTAATTATAATTTATACTCATAAACAGGTTTTAAATTTCACAAAATAAACTTTTTTGAAACTCTATAAGTTTTTATTTAAATATGAAAAAAATACCAAATACCCCAAAAAAGTGGTTAACACAAGTGGTGAGAAAGGTTAATGGCTAATAAATTTAAAAGCTTTGGTAAAAGAAACTATTTTTTTTTTTCTAACACAGATATGCGTAAATTTTTTCCATAGTTATAGATTTCATGTGAGTTGTTTTATTTGTTATCTCATTTTATCATTAGATTAAACTTAAAAATTTTTTTTTGGTTTCTTTTAGTTGATAACAACACTTACAGTTTTTTTAAAGATAACTAAGCATAATTATTATAGTATAATGATTATAGTGATGTCAATAACGATTTGTCAGCTAACATTTGACGTCAACGCGAAAATTTGACAATAATTAACATACCTAATTATATAGATAGTCTTAAGTTCATTTGAAAGTCTTTTCCATACTTGTGGTCTTCTAATTGAGATTGAAAATTCAGTTGACGCAAAATTACTTTTGGGCTGTATATAGGTGTTATTTAAATATCTGTTGAAATAACTGTTTTGATTTATTTTCAATAACGAATTAAAAATTTTAGGAACAATATTTTAGTGTGTGTGTGTGTGTGTGTGTGTGTGTGTGTGTGTGTGTGTGTGTGTGTGTGTGTGTGTGTGTGAGTGTGTGTATTGAATAATATTTTGGTATTAGTGCAGTGACGTCGCGACACACCCAGTGACCCATAGGAAAATTTCATCTTTTTTACAATTTTTTGCAATTTCTTTACTCCTATTATAAACTGTGCTAGTAATTATATAGTAAATATATAATTTTAGGGATGATAGAAACTTTACAAGGTTGTATTTTTCTAACATTAAAATATTATATGAGTTAAACAAGTTTAAAATTTGCTCTAAAAAAAAAATCTGTATCTGTTTAAACCTTTTTCTTTTATATTTTTTTCTGTAGATGTCATTTGAAATTATGGAAGAGCGTCAAAATATGGTGCGTTCGTATTTAATAGAGCGTGAAAAAGAAGAAAGATCGTACAAAAATAGAGCAGATAAAATAATGGCGGATTTCGCAAATAAAATGGATAAGTTAGACGTAATCACAAGTCAAATACCAATAAAAATTCCTATATGTAAAGCTTCTCAACAACCATATCACGCTTACAGTAAGCTAAACAAATTCTCACAAACTGCCAAAATTTCAGTGGTTGATGAGGAAATTCAAATTACAGCTGAATTTTTTGAAGAAAAAAGTTTAAAAGAAGTTGTCGAGGTCCTAACCGCGGAGTTACAAGAAGTATACAATCGCCAAATAAATTGCGAAAAAAAAAAGAAACATCCGAAGCAAAAGAAGAAAAATTATGATATTAAGCCACTTAGTTTCTTTGAATTCGAGTCGTTGATGTTAGAGGCACGTGATGTGACACGTGACGTTAATGCGGAAGAACAAGTTGAAATATTTGTAAATGAAGAAATTTTAAATGAAAAGAACGAGGAGTTTAAAGTTGAGATGGAGAGAGAGAAAAAAGCCATCTGTAAGTTCTTTGTTAACAATGAAGATCAAGGCTTACAAATAAAAAATGACGATTTAATATTTAAACTTAACGAATCCAAAAAAATATTTAACAAAAAAATCAAAGAAAAAATGTATATGAGCCAACATGAAGATTACAAAAAAATGAATGAATTAAGAGAGTCTTGTAGACGTTTAGACGCAGCTGAAGCAAATTTTTTTCAAAAAATAACTAAATTAGCAAGCAAATTCACCTTAGACGAAGATGTGTTAAAAAATTTTGCCCAACAACTTGCCCAAAAAAAAGATGAACAAAGAAACATTTACATAGATCAGTTTATTGGCGATTTAAAAATTAATAATGAAAAAGACGAAAACTATATGTTAGAAAATCATTTCAAAGAGCTTTGCTTTTTGTATGAAGAAATGAAACATAACGAGAAAGAGCTTAATAGCTTACTTTTTTTAAAGTTTACGGATAAAAATAGAGAAACGCTTAGAAACTGTTTAATAAATATGAAAAATTTTCTTTCAGTAGAGCAAGATTCTGAGTCAGACTCAGGAATTGAAAATCCAGTGTTAAGTACTTACGCTAATTTTAATGGTAGTACCCACAGATTGCAAGATAGCGGAGATCATAGTGAAACTTTTTGTAAAAAAGTTGGAAAAAATCTTGTTGAAGACATTTTCAAATCAAAACTTTCATCTTCCAAAGTTTGCGATATAATACATTACCAGGGCAAGTTTATAGAAGACATACTTCAAGACTACTCAGATGAAATGGAAAAAGTAGAAGAAAACCTTTATCAAGTAAGCGCAATTAACGAAGTTAATAAAGTTTTGTTGACGCATGATGTTACAAAAGAATCCGCTGACACACTAAAACGTGAACTTATAAATGCCAGCAGTGAACTGAGTTTAGTAACAGCGTTAAAAGAAAATCAAAAAACACAACTCGAAACCTTAAAAAATAAAAAAGACGAAAAACAGACACAAAACAGAAAGGTTTTTAAAAACAAAAATAAACTGCGTCTAAGTTTAAAAGCTCTTAATAAAACCATTGCTGGCAAGCTTCTTGCAGAGAAGAGGAGAACAACTTCCGAAGTCAAAGCCAATGTCAGCCAACTGCAAAAGGAAAACGACATTTTAGACAGCGCATCAAAAGACAATGTTTCTAAAATACCTGACATTAGCGAGAATAATGCCAAAATTTATGAAAATAGCGGAGATATTGTTAAAAACAATAAAAATGAAGAGGTTTATAGATTAAAAAATGATTTAAATAAGTTATCTTTTTATGTGGATCTTAAAGATTCAAAAGAATGTTATTTACAAAAGGAAGAACCTTTAAATAGCAGTTTTGCTTTCAATCAAGTTCAAAAAGTTCCTTCATCCACAGAAGTTGAAAGAATTGTCGAACAAAAGCTAAAGCTTTCAGAAATGCTGGTAAAAACCGAAGCAAAAATTAATAAACTTTTGATTCAATCAAGTAAGTTTCCTTCCATGAATGAAAGTTCTCAATTAATAGAAAACAGCTCACTCGGCTCAGCAATTAATAATAAACTACAACTCGTTAAAAAGCTAACATCTCTTGAGAATCAACTTAGCAGCATTAACTACGAAATTTCTTGCGAGAAAACTAATTTTTCCCTTAGTAAAGCAAAGAAAGAGCTTTCTTCAATTAAGAGAGAGATTGCGCGTATTAGAAAAAAACTAAGAGAAAAGCAATTTTCTCAAAATAAAACCATCAGTAAAAAACAGACACATGATACAAAATTGGTAATTTAGTTTATTGTATATATATATATATATATATATATATATATATATATATATATATATATATATATATATATATATATATATATATATATATATATATATACATATATATATATATATATATATATATATATATATATATATATATATATATATATATATATATATATATATATATATATATATATATATATATATATATATATATATATATATATATATATATATGTATATGTATATATATATATATATATATATATATATATATATATATATGTATATATATATATATATATATATATATATATATATATATATATATATATATATATATATATATATATATATATATATATATATATAAAATTGCATTAAACTTTAAATAATGAGTATCTAACAGAAAAATTTACGTAACTAGGGATTGGTCAAAAATTACAGCAATGAAATAATTCGTGATGCAATGCGAGAACTTCTTCAAGAAAAGGAGAGTACAGAAAATATAATTCTGCATCTTAATAAAGATTTAGAAAATCTTAAAGAAATTGACTCAAAGATGAGTCAGTACAAAACATGCGAAGAAAAACTTGTATCTGTAGAAAAAGATCTGTTAAAAAAAAAAGAAGATTGCGTCATTAAAATGGTTGCTATGGCAAAAGATGATCATCATTATTTTATCGAATCACTAAAAGGAGAAATTAAAACAAAAATAAATTGTATGGAAAAAGAAACTCAAAAGTTAACCATAATAGAAAAGGAGAAACTCCGAAATGAACTTCGTGATATAATAAACGACATGAAACAAACTCGCGAACAACTAAAAGAAATTCACCAGTTTCAGAAAATGGGTCATACCAAAGATAACACTTTGCTCACAATATTATCGGAGAAAAAAAAAGAATTGTCCGAAACATTGAATGAAGTTAATTTGACGTTAGATAAAGAAACCCTATCACAAGACCATGAACACTCGGTCGTTTCAAAATTAATTCAAAAAAAAGAGGGAATTATGTTTCAACTGGAAGATCTTAAAGAACGTATTAATAATCAAGAAGAGGTTTTAAAATTACGCTACAAAAAGTTGCTCGAGGTTAAAAATGAACTTGAATCAAAATTACTTGATGGGATGAGCGAAAGCGAACTCCATTTGATTATTTCTGAAATTGAAAATCCTTTAGGCAGTGATTACAAATTGACAAATTTGTTTAAAGAAAAAAAACAGGTTCAAGACGAAATCACAAAATTGTTAAATGTAAGCCCATTAAACAAAGCAGCACTGCAAGAAGCTTCAAAAACTCATGAAAATATTGATACTTTAATTTGTACACGTTTGGATGAAATGATGGTCAGTTTACATGTGGACGATTCTTTGGAAGACAATCACAACTTAAAATGTACCCTTTTATTAAATCCTGAACTTTTTTTTGGAATTGTTCAACATAAAAAAGACCTCGAAAATACACTACAGTTTGTATTGTCTGACAAAGAGTTTAAAGAAAAAATTTCTGACGAAACTTTGGTTCTTGGTGCGCAAGAAATTCGGCAACTTGAAGATATTAAACTTATTTTGGACGATTTTCATAACCGGAATATAGAACCTAACCATATGACGGATATTATTCGCTTTAAATCTTTGAACTACGAGAAAATTGAACGGTTAGATGAAAAAATCAAAAAATTAACTGCTGTTCTGGATAATCAAAAAACACAAAATAGCAGCTTTGCACCTAACATGTTTACAGTAAAAAATGAAGACATATTTAGCAAAACAGAAATTCAAAATTTAACAAACAAAAACAATAATAAAAAAAATTTATTATCGAATTTGCCACCGACTGATAATATTTCAAATCTTCTTCTCGTTCGTGATGACCTTCTAAACTTACTGTTTTGTGTTGAAAAAAAACTTGAAAGAAAATGTTTATCAACTGACGAATTAAAAGAGTTGTGTTCAGAGAAAGCAAAACTCGAAAAGGAGATAGACGAAATTGAACAAAAAGTATTGAATGGAGATTTTATTATCCCAAACAACGATCTCGAGTTTCAATTGTCAAGTCGAAGTTTTTCACCAAAAAGTACTTCGAGTCAAGCTAGTCTTTCTGATATTCATACCGAAAGAGAACAGTTTACAAAAAACTTATTTAATATAAAAATGAAGGAAAATGAATCGGTCTCTATAACGAACTGGGCATTGCAAACAAAAGAAGAACTGAAAAGTGATTGGGGTGAAATTTCAACAAACAAAGATAAAGAAACAATTCAAAAAAAATCTGACGTTGACATTGAGTTAAACGAACATTTTGTAGATAACGACGTCACCTTAGTGATCGACCACAGCAAAGATTGCTTAGAGATGTTATCTGACGATAACGATGAAGTCGAACCTGTTCAAAAAATGGATATTTTAACATTACATGAACAATCAATGGTAAAAACCAATTTGTCTGCTAAAAAAATTTCAAGCACCTCACAAAGTATTCTTATTGATGAGTTTTTCTCTTCATTAAGCAACACAGACGACGAGAACTGTATCGAGAACTGTATCGAGAATTGTATCGAGAATTGTATCGAAAACATAAAAAAAAACGAAAACGATTCTTTTGTACCAATTTGTGTTGAAAAGTTACAATTAAGAGTTTTAGAAAAAAATAAAAAAGAAATCGAAAGCCAAATTAAAGCTCTCAAAAACCAGAACGATTCTAAAAAAATTGAAATGCATAGCAAGCCAAAGCTTGTAAGCGCAGAAGTAAACTCTCAATTGATACTTGAAAAATGTCGACTAGAAAATGAAATTGAAAGCACACGGAAAAAAATTGAGGAAAATGAAATTTTTGTGCGAAAAATTGAAGCTCTGACTGACCTAGAGTTTCTAAAAATTGAACAAGAATTTACGCTTGAAGAACATAAAGAAAACAAAGTGTCTTTAGAATTACAAATTTCCATTATAAATAGTTTAATAAAAAACTATGCATGCGTTATTAAAAATGAAATACTTCATTTAGAAAACGATAGCATCGAAAAAAAACTCAATTCCAATTTTATAAACGAAAATACAAATGCATTAAAGTGTTCTGAAGATCATATCGAAGAATTTTGCCAACAGAAAAATGAGCTGAATGCAGAAATAAAAACTCCCTTAAAAGAGTTGCTAAAAGAAAGACAAACTTTAGTAAGCAAACTCGAAAATATCGAAAAAGAAGTTAAAAACATTGAAAGTAGTACGGAACTGCAAGAAATTACAAAGGATATCAGAGAATCGTTTAAAGCTTACAAAGAAACGATTAAAAAAGAAAAATTTTTGCAAGCAAAAATAACAGTTTTTGAAAAAAAAATTGCGGATATTTTAGAAGAAATTCAATGTAACGTCGACGTCGATTGTAATGAGCTTTGCAGAAAAACGGAGAATGAAAACGAAGAACATCTTTACAAAACAATAAATAATTTAAAAACAGAAAATGCAAGGTTAGAGCTTGAACTAAAAAACTTTAGAGAGCAGTTCGAAAATATGGATGAACTTAAAAAAGAAATATTAAAGTATAAAGTAGAAGCAGAAGCAGATAGAAATTCTGCGCTCCTACTTTATAAAGAAAACAATGAAGTCAAATCTCAGTTAGAAATATTCAGAAACCATCTTGAAGAAAATAAAGAATACAAAGAGAAACTTCAAAAAGAAGTAGCCGAGCAGATAGACATGAACAACTACTTATTAGAGGAGAATAAGCTTTTCAAAGTGGAACTAAACCATTTAACAAGCCTCATACAACAAGAAAAAGAGAAAAATATTTCAACGAACGATGCAGCCATTCAAACAAATGATTTTAATGATGAAAATGAAAAAATGAAAATTGAAATAGAAAACAAAGAGCTATTAAGTTTAAATGAAAGGTTAGAAATGAAAGTAAAAGAATTAGAAGAAAACCTTCGGCTTAGAGACAAAAATAGTGCCAAAAAAAATAAAAAATTAGACCCACAAAAATTAACTACATTAGAGGAATCCATAAACAATGAAAAAACAGATGATCAAAGAACAGTTGCACCAGATAGTTACATCATGGTTACAGCAGCCGACGTTTGTGTATCTTCTGCAACGAATAATGTTGTGCCAGCAGATATAGTATTAAAAATGTCGGAACAAAACAGTTTAATAAAATTCTTAAATCAAGAAAAAGAAGAGCTAAGTGAATATTTAAATCAACTGGAATGTGATTATGCTAAAAATATAAATCTTTTAGATTCAACCTCCACTCATTTGCGCGAGTTGAAGAGAATGTTAGGCTTAAACTTATTTAACTTGCTTGTAAATAACGGAGATAATGAAATAAGTAGAGCTAATGGGTATTGTGAAGATGAAGCAATAAACAACGAGAAAAATACAGAACAAATTGAAATTCTTTTGCAACAAAATTTAACAATCGAAAACCTTTTACATCGACTTTTACTAGAAGTTGAAACAAAAACCGATGAAGAAATTTGTAACTTTGAAGAAGAAATTTTATTAAAAAATGCTGATATACTGACCATGGAAAACAACTTGTTCGAAGCAAAAGATTATATAAAGAAACTTGAAATAAAAATCGATGTTATGGAAAAGCAATCAATTCAACTCCATGAAGAATCGGAGAATCGAAACGCAATTGAAAAAGACGCATATATTAAAATAATTAATGATCTAGAAAATAATTTAAACTTGGTCTCTGAAGCTAAAAAGTTCGTAGAGGAAGCCTCAGTTAAAGATTGTGAAAAAATTAGTTTGTTAAATTACGAAAACAATACGTTAAAGCAAAGAAATTTTTATTTAGAGGAGAAATTAGATTTGATACAAAAAAAAGAGAAAAAATTATGTTCTGAGATAGAGCAGCTGCACGAAGATCTTCAAAACTCAGAAAAAAAGATTGTAGAAATTACAGTTGAAATCAAAAAAGTTAATGAAGACTATTTAAAACTTCAAGATAAACTAAGTGAACAAATAACCAAACACAAACAATTGAGGAATGAAACCTCCGGAAACTCTAAAATTGAAATGGTTTTGCCGAAGAAAGAAGTTGCTCTTCAAACACAGAATAGCAATGACACAGTTCAGTTAGAAAACACATTTAATGGAATGGAACAATACAAACAAGACGATACTGCCTTAAACAAAACATTAGATCAAAACAAACTTCTTTCATTGGATGAATCAACCACTAACATGCAACAAGATAATTTTAAAGCAGAAGATCTTGTTTCAAAAATTTCTGAGCAAAAATGTTTTATAGAAAATTTATTATTAGAAAAAGAGCAGCTAATTCAAAACTTACATCAACTTGAAGATGACCAAGCAGCGATAAACACTCGGTTAGACTTTAATACCACAATTTTGCGCCAACTAAAACAAATATTAGGGTGGAATTTGTATTATGTGCTTACTAAAGATAAACAAAAAAGTAATGAAAAAGATAAATATATGGAACAAATTGAAGTTCTTTTAGAACAAAAGTCAACTATAGAAGAAGTTTTGCACCTCCTTCTAATAGAAGTTGAAACAAGATCCGCCGAAACCATTCAGATAAGCAATTTAGAAGCTGAGATTCAGTTAAAAAACGCCAAAATACATTCAACTGAATGTAGTTTGTACGAAACCAAAGAATTAATAAAAAATCTTGAAATAAAAAACGAGACTTTGGAAAAACATTTAACGCAGCTCAATGATAGAGTAGAGTATCAAAATGCAAAAGAAAAAGACGTTTATATCAAAATGATTGATGGCCTAGAAAAGCAGCTTAGAATGCTTTCCGCAACTAACGAGTCCATGGAAGAAACATCAGCTAGAGATCACGATAAAATAAATCAGCTTAACCATGAAAATAAAATGTTGACATTAAACAACCTTAGTTTAAGCGAGCAAGTAGAATCGTTGAAAAAGAAAGAAGAAAATCTATATTCCGATATACAACGGATGCGTAATGATATCCAAAGTTTGGAAAATAAAAAAAACAAAACTGCAGAAGAGCTGTTTAAACTTCAGGAGAAGTTAAAAGAAATATCAGACGAAAACAAACTTTTAAGAAGTCAAGTAAGTTCTGCTGAAAACGCCGACGAATCAGCAAAATCAATTGTAAGAAAACTATCCGTTGAAATGAAAAAAGTTAAGTTGGAACTAGCTGATTCAGCAGCTGATATTAATAGCTTGGCACAAGAAAATCAGCAGTTAAAAATCAATAATGACAATTTGTGTAAAAAAATTCAGCATTTGCATAAAAGCAAAAGTGATCTCCAAAGTCGTATTGATGAACAGAACAAAAACCTAGATGCCTTGCGCGAGGAAGTTTTAGTACTTAAAGAAAGTGGAAAAGAACTCAAGTTTGAATTAAGAGATAAAAATGATATTGTCGAAGAAAAAGAGAGGGCAATTGCTAAATTAGATAAAACAGTTCAAGATACAGAAAAAAAGATTGAAATGATGCGCCAAGAACTTGTTGAATCTAAGTTAACACATCAAAATTTATTATCAAAACATCAAGATGAGTGCGACCGACTAAAAAATGAACTAAGAGTAGAAAAATCAATGGCAGAAGAAATGAGAGCGGAAATCGGAATGTTGACAAGATTAAAAGAAGAGTCTGACACTATTGAAAAAAATCTTAAAAACCAAAACGCTGAAAACAAAAGAGAGCAGCTACAACGCGAAAGTGAACTGTTGATAAACCTTGAATTGGAAAAAAAAAGAAACCAAGAGTTAAAGGATTCATTAGAAGACTATTTAAGAAAAAACGCAAGGCAAGAAGCAAAAATATTAACCTTAAAAGAAGAAAATGATAACTTGATGGAGAAGATCAACAACTTGGACGAAAAGTACGAAGATGAGCTAACTGATCTCAGAAAAACAATGAACGAAAGCTTCAACGCAAACGTTGATAATTTAAATAAAAAACTACGAAAAATGGCATCCGATTTTATGCAGTTAGATCAAATCAATGAATCACTTAAAAATGACTCTAAAAAGTTAACAATCGACAACGAGGAACTTTTAAACCGTTTAAACACACAAAATTTAATGCATAAAGAAATTCAGGCTTTAGATAAAGCTAAAATTGCTTCTCTTACAACTGAAATAGAAGGGTTGCGTCTCGAAAACAACGACATCAAAGAAAAAATGGATGAAATAAGGGTATGCCTTAAAAATTATGAAGCCTTAAATATAAGAGAACAAGAACTGAGCGAAAGGGAATTAATACTTAAAAGTGCCTGTCAACAACTAGAAGAGGAAAAATCCCAGTTCACTGAAACTATTGAAAAACAACTAAAAAAATTTCAGCACGAAAAAATTACTCAAGAGGATATTGAAAAAAGAAACAAAGATAGCCTTTCACTTAGGATGCTTGCTTCTTGCCAAGATCAACGTGATAAACTAAGTGAAGATTTAGCGAAGATAAAATACGAATTAAATAATACAAAAATGGAGCTACGAAAAGCAAACTTAACTATTCGAGAAAAAGAGCAGTTTTATGCTTCCGAAGAAAAAATGTTGATTAAAAAATATGAAGAAGAAATTCAATCGAAAATTGAAGAAATTAAAAAAAATGCTTCAAATGATAGAGCTTTGTTAATAAAAACACAAAATGAAGAAAGATTGAGATGGGAGGAAGAAATGAAGCTATTGTCTTCTGATCTACACGAAGAAAGTTTAAGAAAACTTGCTGAACAGAAAGTTGATTTTGAAAAGGAATTACAGGATCAAATCTTCAAATTTTTACATGAAAACTCAGATGAAATTACAGAACTCATTGCAAAAAATGAACAGCTTCAAAACGAAAAGAAAAATCTTGAAAAACAAATGAATGAAGAGAAGCTAGCCATGATTCAAGAGCACGCTCGACAACACTTTGTCTGGGAAGATACGGTGAGAAGGTTATTAACAAGTTTAATACAGTTAAAAGAAAAACAATGCACGTGAGTCTCAAATTTTTGCTTATTAGATTAGCTTGTAGTTTGTAGCAATCCACTTGCAATTCACTAGCAATTCACTTGCAATAGTGATTGAAAATATGTAAAAGCTTAGAATTCCCGTCATCAATTTTATATGTTTGTCTACACAACTCTTTTAGATAGATAAAAATATATATTGAGCATTGTGTTTGCAACTATTCGCAAGGTTTTTTTTTTTTTCAAAATTGCAGTCTTTTATTTAAAACCAGGTAACAAGATTTTTAATAAGACTCTTAATTTAGTTAAAGTTATATTATGAGTGTTTTTATTTTTTTTAAGTAATGACAGCTATGCTCAAAAATATTTTCTGTTCTACAAAAAAAACTCTTTGTAATAAGTATTTTACTCTTTTGAACAGCATTTTTTATTATAAAAAGCTCAAGAGAGAGGGAAACAAGATTGAGGAAGGGTTTAAAGAGAAATTTTTCACTAGCATTTTTTGTATTTATGTGGTGTTCTAAGAAATCCTTACGGTCTTATGACAGAGGTGGAAGAACATTTAAGTAGGAAGTTTACGTTTATTTATTCACCTTTTAAGTTTAGGTTTTAACGATCATTATCAGTAATGTATTTTGCTTAGAATCGTAACTTGAGAGTTCTCTATCTTGCCCCGTCTTTCCCTATGTATATATATATATATATATATATATATATATATATATATATATATATATATATATATATATATATATATATATATAATATATATATATATATATATATATATATATATATATATTTATATAGATAGATAGATAGATAAAGAGAAAAAGACTTACCATACAAAATGTAAAATGATTTCAAATGTGTAGAGTGTATAACAGAATAGTAAATACTGTTACACACTCTACGCTAAAAGATTAAAAAACCAAAAATTTTATGTAGGATTTTATTCTACTAAATAGTATATTGGAAATTTAATGAGAGCTTTTACATAGATCAGAGGTCTGTTTAAACAGGTTTTGTTGAAAATAACTATATTACTAGATAATTCATCGAATATAAATTATTTAAAACTTAAGTCATTGTCAAACGATATTGTGTTTGGGGTTTTAGGTAGATTTTAAACAAAAACATAGCTATTATTGATTTAAAGATGACTTAGTTTTAGTAATAACTTTGATTAGAGACAACATTATAGTATGCAACATACATACATACATTTTTTACATACATGCATACATACATACATACAGTTTTTCCGTTTTATGTTTTTCACAGTATTGAGCTTTTACGGTAAAAAGCATGAACTCTACCAATGCAACACACTGTAAGTATTACATTGAAAGTGTTCTTGCTTTAATTTAAAATTAAAATCTATTTTACAGAATTAGTATTACTGATATCAATTCTATTAAGTAGTGACAATGAACTTATTTTTTTATTTCCCTTTAAGGCATTAATGACGAAAAACATGTTTTCTTACCACCAAACTTACATTATTTCATTATTTTTTGCAATTACTTTTTTTTAATTTTTTTTAATTTTTATTTTTTTTATAAAGTTTTTGTTAAAAAGCATCATTCGGGGGCACGAATTCCATCTCCTAGGATTGACATCAGGTTAATATAAAGTATATATCTTTTTGAATTTAGAGAAACTGTGCCACTGGGGTAAAGTGGGATAAGCGAGGATAAAGATAGTAAATAAAAACATGTTAACAAAAATTATTATTTAAAAATTATTAAAATGGTAAACCACGTAATTTTCATCTAAATATTTTAGAGGTTTCCATAACAACCACACAACTCCACAAAAGTTACGGGGGTGAAGAGCGATATCAGTTCATTTTGCCATTTCAGCAATCAAAACACTTTTTAGGGGTTATTTTTTAAAAATGCGGTTTTTATTACACAAATCGATGTCTGCTAATTATAGGGGAAGAAATCTTATTGTTTGCATTAGTTAACAGTGATTCGAGACTTCTTCTAAATGTAACTTTTGTGCTGTTCCACTTCTTCCGCGTCCCACTTTTTTGCCTACTCTACAAATCCGTTTATTAGAATAATTTTTTTTTTCAAATAATGACTTTAATTATGTTACTGTAACGAGACATTTAAAATATTTGAAGGCAGTATTTATTTTATTTCTATTGATTGAATTAAAAGTAAAGGTTATTTAAACGACTTTAAAAAGTTTCGGGAAATAATTTGTCTTTCGGAAGAGACTTGCCAGAGATAAACCTGTACTCATGACGTTTTTCCCCATTTATCTTGGCAGACAACATCTTTGAATTAATAAAGACGTAAACAGATTTGAGAGATGTTACATTATTTTTTTGTTACTGATATTTAAAGTACCACTAAGTGTATAAAAAGTGTTAAAACCTTTTTTTAATAGTTCTGTTGCTACGATTGCTTTGGAGTGGGTTTAGAGGGTACTTTAGAGGGCTCCTAATTGAGACTGTAAGAGACTGTAGGCTTAACTGCATAAAAGTAAGACAACCAAGTATTAATATTTGCTATACTAACTGTAATTAAAGATATCTTTGTAAAAAGTTTGGTTTATTTAACTTCAGATTTATTTTTAGGTTGCGTTACAAACACCAGAACGAAATCACTGAACTTGAAAATAAAATTACTACTGAAAAAGAACGTCTTGAATGGAGATATTCCCAGGAGGTAGACTTTCTAAAAGAAAATTTGCACAATATATATGCTAGTACAATCAATAAGGAAAAACAGTTTTTGCAATCTACGTTGGAGCAAATTGTAAACGAAATAACAGTTGTAAAATACGGACCGGTGCGAATGCAACCTGAGCGCGATAAACCTATTAAGCAAAAATACGAAAAAATTGAAAGTATTTTAAGTTCCGTTGATTTAGATTTTTCTACAGATAATTCAAGTGACATTGCCAGTACTGATAGTGATACACATATAACGAATCCCATATTAACTATGGAACAAAACTCAAAAGATTATGAATTAAAGTTACGCAAAGAAAGCAATTATCTAGTAAAGCGTCTTTTAAAACTTTCGGACGCGATTGAAAAACTCCAACAACCTAACTCTCAAAACCTCTAAAAAAGAAAAAAAAATTAATGGATTTCGTATTATATTTTTATCTTAATGACATATCTTTGTTTATATAGCATAGTGTAAATATTTTAATATATTTTTTTAATTTAATTTGTATTTACTTCTTTTTTATTAGTTATTATATTTTATTGCAATTAAATTATTATTTTGTAGTAATAAATAATAAAACAGCCGTTTTATTATTAATTAATTTATAAATAATATAATTAAATGTTCCAAAGTTCGAGTTCGATGTCTACTTTAGTCATATGAACAAGGTTTCAACAATAATTTCCTAGTTAAATTTGCTTCCTCATAAAGTTACATTAAATAAGAATTAATTAGTCGTGGTTGAAATAATTTCACTGTAAAAACTTAAAAAGTAAGCAAAGTGTAGCCAATTAACTTAATCTTTTTTTAATTGTGGCATATTACTGTCTGGAAAGCTTAAAAGACGCCCCTCAGTTTTATTGTATAGGTTAATTTGGCGCTTAATCATTCATATAATACTGCGTATTTTGCGCAAGGCTCAGGAAGTCAGATGAGAAAACTTTAAAACACTAACATATTTTCTTATTTACTTAAACAAATATGTTACTGCAGCATTTCTATAATCTTAAAAAAACATTTAAAAATGAAAACGTAAAATACCGCGTAAAAAACCATATAATACCGTGTATTTTTAGTGGGTTTGTATCAAGGGCGAATCCATTCAATATTATAAGGAGGGGGGGGGGGACGATTTTAAATATTTTTCGATTTGGAGGATGCAGGCGATTTAGTAAGGGGGCGAATTTTAGATTTGTAAGTAAGCAATCACACAACTTTGAACGACATAATTTTATTAAAATTGCAATTTTCTGTAGACAGTCTAACTATATTATTTCCGTTTTCAAATAACTTCCTGTGTTAAGTATATAAACTTAAAAAAATAAAAAAAATTTCAAAATTTTTTAAGGAGGAGGTGGAGGTGGGGGTGGGGGGGTGGCCGAATGCCACCATCGCCCCCCTTCCTTGGGATTGTTTTTTTTTTTTTTTAAAAAAAAAAAAATAAAACTAAATTTAGTTAAATTGTTAAAGTTTTTAATGCTTACAGATGCGTTATAATAACAAAGTAAATATATTTTAGAGTACGCTTTTAATGTATTTATTTATTTACCATTTACTTTTTTTATAAAAAAACTTCAGAAAACGTTCCATTAAAACTGTCTGACTGGAAATATTTTTTTCATGACTATTTAAACTTTTCTGATTTTTTTAACTTGACTCATTAACTTTAACTTGACTCATCAACTTTATGCTTTAGATAATAAGATAACTAGCAAAAATCTATTGTACTTTCATAATATACATAAAAGCATAGCTAGCAAGAAACTATCGTACTATCATGTTTTACATAAAATGATAGCTAACAAAAGATACTGTACTATCAAGTTTTACATAAAAGTAAAAACATATGATATAATACAAACATATGATATAATGGCTAGTTATTAGCTAGCCACCTTTAAACCACCTTTAGTAACCAATTGGCAAAGCTACAGTGAAGCTTTGTTCAAAATGTTTATTTAGGTCCAATAAACTTCCCCTATAGAAAATTTTCTGGAATCAAGGTATCTTTTAGGTATTTTCAAGGTATATTCTAACATTGTTAAAAACTTTTAAAATTATGAATACTTTAAAAATAATTTTTAGTTATCCATAAAAAATGAAAAAATAAAGAATTAACATTATTAACATTACTAATCAAGAACTTTTAGCAAATTACTTAATTAAATCGCATTATTAAAGTACCAAAACCTATTCAACAGATCAACATAATAAATAACCATTGTTTGTATTCTAAGTTAATCGTCTGGTAATGGTGACATTCTTTTCGTACCAAAAATCTAGAAATGGTAAAGTCGTATGTTTTCAAACTTTTCTGCTAATAATAAAATAACTATAATGTTGATCAATTAAATTTGTCGTTGAAACGTTGCGTTTATTGTTGATCGCAATCGTTAATCGTTTGCCGTTGAATCGTTGCGTTTAGCTTCATAAAACTGCCAAGCATTTTAAAAAATAAATTGAGGAGTCCATTTGCAAAACACGCTAAGCCCGAGTAAGTAGGTTTTGAAAAAACAACAAAAAACTGAACTACTCATAGTTGCACATCAACAGAAATTGATTTTTTTTTTTGTCTATTTGTACGACAAAAAAAATTTTAATTAGTCTAATATTTAAATAGATAACATACTTCAGTGTATAGAATGTGGAAACGAAAAAAGAAAAAGAAACATAACGGAAAGAAAAGAAAATAGCTCAAAATTTTTATTTTTGTGAGGATTTTGCAGATTGTCCTACTTTTTATTGTTTCTTCAACCCCATCAATGGCTCTTTTTTTTGAGGGCTGAATTTCCAGTCAAAAGTTGGAATTGTAAAATTCACTTGAAACACTTTAGGAATTTTACCGTTTAGTGGTTTTTTAATTTAAAAAGTTCGAAAAGTTACTTTGTGTATTTTGGAATCGGTTCCTTTAAATAATTAACAAAAGTGTTTGTATATATATATATATATATATATATATATATATATATATATATATATATATATATATATATATATATATATATATATATATATATATATATATATATATATATATATATATATATATATATATATATATATATATATATATCAAAGATTTCTGTTTCTTTCCCTCTTTTGAGGTCAATTTTTCTTTTTAGATTTTGTGTGGTAATTTTACCAGTTTCAAAAATGTTCTTCTTATTTACTGTCTTTTCTGGAGTTTTAGTTAATATAGTACTTTTACCCTGCTTTCTTCTTTTCTTGGGGGTGCTTTAGGGTACGGATGAATGGATTCTGGACTAACTATTTTGACTGATGATTCTGAAGAATCAACTTGTTTATTTATTTCATATGATTGTTGATTATCTGGTTGTTTAATTTCTGGTTGCTCGACAAGAAGAGGTCTGTCACTAACACTAGATGATATGAAATCACTTTCCCCAAATATTTGTCTATTGAGTGGATAGATCCCACATTTAGAAAACCCACTGCAAACATTTTTTATTGTGAAAGACATATTATATGCTTTGCATGCTAGCTGAGGTAAATTATATATGTTAATAATTCTCCCTGGATTGGAGGCCAACCATTCATTCTGAGCCAATCTAAAATAAGATTTAAAAGGACCAAACACCGAAACATCCAAAGGCTGCAATCTATGACTGCAGTGTTGTGGAAATGTTAATAAAATCAAAGAGTTTCCTTTTGCAAATGTTATTGTTTCAAATGAAATGTGGCTTTCGTGGTTGTCCATTAATAACAGCACTGGATGCTCCACAGATGGCTTAGCATGGGAAACAAAGTGCTTCATTGCAACTAAAAAGTTCTCACTTGTCATCCAACCACTTTTGTTACACAGCCCTAAGCTTCCTGTTGGGGTTCCACATATCATAAAATCCTTGTAATTTACTCTCGGAAATATAAATACAGGTGGAACTGTATTACCCATAGCATTCACAAAAGCTAACATTGTCACCAATGAACCTCTTTCTTATGAAACAGCTTGTGAAACCCTTTTAGTTCCACGAGTTGAAATAATCTTTGGAGGATCTGTTACTGTTAATAATCCTGTCTCATCTGCATTAAAAATACATTCTGGTTTAGTGATAATTTTGGATGTCGTATCAAAAAACTTTCCAACCATTGCTTTCCTGCCATTTTATTTTGGTGCCATGACTCTGGAATACTGTTAGAATTTAATGCAATTCCGTACTTGTAGGCTAATTGCCTAGT